ACGGATCGGCTCCACCGAGGGTCCCACTGGACCATGGAGAGTCCACACACCTGGCAGGCAGTAATCTGCTCTGATACCACTTGTCACCTCCCAAAAGAGCTCTTTTGGGAGGTGACATTAGGCTTGATAACGGGGAAGGTAAGACAAGTAAAAATTATCTCTAAAATCATGATTGCGATTCAATCTTTATAATAAAAAAAAAATGAACTACCCATGTTTTCAACGATAAAGAATCAAAGCTTCTCAAGTTAAGTACCAAATAAGTAATCAAAGTTTCATCATAAGCTTGATAAAAAAACTTCAGTACTACCCCCTTCGTTTCCCAACACAGAGATGCATACAAGTCTTCCTAACTTCTCATATCAAACAACTTTGCTTCAGAATTTATGTGAGGAGATAACATAATTGAATAATTCTGCATCAAGATATGAACTGAATCCCAAAGAGATTTGCCACATTAAATCGAGAAGTTTGCAACATCCTTCTTGCCCTTTAAACCCATTTTAAATGGTCCTGGGCTTAATACAACCTTTAAAAAGTATCAGGTAGCAAACCAGGAATCCATTCATTATTTTGAAAATAAAAGCAAAATATGAAAGAAATCCTTTATTGTAGTATGAAGAACATCTCTCTTAAGTGAAAATACCTCACAGATCAACCAACCAAGGTAGAGAAAAGGAGAAGAGAGCCTTACCCTCAACTGCCTGCGAGAAAGAAGAAGGAGAGCTTCGAACTAGGGAGGATCAAACGGCAAAGCTCCAAGCACACAAAGCACAGACCAACCGAAGGGTGAGAATCACTCAAAATTTCGGCAGAACCTCCCCCACTCTCCAAAATTTCGGCCAGCCATTGAACCTTCCCCTAAATGGGGTTTTATAGCCACGAAGGAGAAGAAGAGCTCACCTAAACCTACCCATGGTGGCCCGATGCCGAGGGAGGAGGGAAAACGGCGATAAACGGCGGCTTGAGGAGGAAGATGCAGGAGATGGGGCGAGAGGCGTGCGGCTCGAGGAGGGAGTCTCGGTTGGCCCGGTCGCCAACGGGAGAGGGAGCTTCGAGCGAGGGTTCGGTCGCGAACAAGTGAGGGAGAGAAAGCTTCGGGCGATGGATTTAGGGATTTTGATTTTTTTTTTAGGAAGAAGAGGGGAAAATATTATATTATAATAATAATAATATAAATTATAATATGCTCAATTTTGTGTATTTTCTCCCAGACGCGTCTTCGTCGTGAAATGAACATCTCCCTTAGACAACATCGATGTTTCGGACACGCCGACACAGTCCGTTTCGTCATCCGGGGTTGTCCGGACAACCTTGTCGCCGATCCGGTCAAAAACAATTTAAATTCGATTTCCGTCAAAATTTTTATTCGAGCTCAATTGATCAGGATGGTGTGAATGGTTGTCATGAGATGTTTATAAAAGATTTGAAGTGATTTTGAGTTGATTTGATGGGTCAATTTGAAGATTTTGGTCACTTGGTCAATTTTGGGGTGTTGGATTAAACTTGAGTTTGGGTTAGGTCAAGGATGGGTTAGGTCCAAATTGATGGTTCAAAATGGTATTGGGGAATGTCATAAATAGTTCTCAATATAAATTGGGTGCTAATTTTGGGATTTGGGCATTCGATTTGATGACATTTGAAGAAATGACTAAATTGGGGCAAAACTGGGAGTTTCAGATTTAAGTTGAAATTGGGCTCAAAGTATGGGACAATTGGGTTGACATTTAGTTTGAATTTATCATATGAAAGATGAAAGAATCATATGAAAGATGAATTTGAGTTTAGAACTGAAATTGGGGTAAATTGGGATCAAATTGAATTCAATTGAAGTGTTTAAGTTGGTTTCAGGGACAAAAGACTGAGTTGGGTATTTTGGTGAATCGATGTGTCAACCATTCTGATTTGAGCCACGGACCAAAGGAGTCTCAATTTGGGTCCTTTATGTACTGGTGCTAGCTAAGCCCCAGCCTAGGGCTAGAGGGTCTAGGAGACTATCTACATAAGTCTCCCAAAGGATCAAGGGATCAAAGTCAACAAGTTGGATTTGGGGTTATGAGTAAATGGGAATGAAAATGAGGGAGCAGTGGGTGAACTAGCTCCAGACCAACATCCAGGGTCAATTCTAAAGCCAAGCAGTCCTATGGGGATTCACCTTGAGCTCCGCCATATTGACCCCACCTACTAAGTGTCAGAGGTTATGACCAATATGTGGAACTTCAAGTTAAGCAAAGAGAAGTTTAGAATTTCTAAAGGTGAAGGTTTCTTTTCTAGTTTTCTAGGAATAGTCAACAGAAAAGTCCTATGGCTAGACGTTAGGCTTCTAAAGAGGGAAAACTAAACCTCAACCAAAAGTGAGGTCAACACTTTTCTAATTTTCTATGAATAGTCAACAGAAAAGTCCTATGGCTAGACCTTAGGCTACTAAAGAGGGAAAATTAAACCTCAACCAAAAGTGAGGTCAACACACCTCAAAAGTATCTTGCAAAGAAATTATAGAACAGAGTTAAGAAAACAAAAACCCTAATCAACTTCATTCAAGGTAAGAAAGAGATTTATAAGACTCATATTTCCTGGAGAAACCCTAATGTTATCCAAGCAACAAAGAAATTGATATAGAAATTGGAGAAAAAGAAAACAAAAAGGCTCATCTTGTGAAATGATAGGGGAAATTTTCAGGCTTTTCGTAGGCATTGAAATCATTTAAACAATGGAGAAAAGAAATCATCAATCAATCATGCTAAACCACTAAAATTGGAAAAGGAAAGATAGAAACTAGAAAAGGTGTGATTATTTTAGGATTCAATCTCCCAAGTTAAAACCTACTATACCTTCATAACTAATTATCAAGTATGTTATTTCTGAAGTGTAAATGGTTAAATAAAAAAAAAACTATGACTTTTTCCATACAACAGGACATTACGTAACATTTTAACAGGATAAAACTAATACTTGTGAAGCATTTTCAAAGCAACATAACATAGCTAAGGTACTGGTGAATTTACCAACATTTTAACAGGAAATTTCATCAATGAGAACATGAGCAACAGCACAAGCGTGATATATCTCCTATTTTAATAAATATGAGGCAAATTACAGCGTAAAGTTAATTTTTTAATAAAGAATCCATATGGAACAGCATATTACAAATACCATAATAAATGAAGAATACAACTACCTAATAAAAGTAGGTCATGTGTCAATGGTTTGCTGGATTTTAACACAGCAAAACAATAATAGTTTTACGGGGCATTTACATACATAGCACCTATGTACTGACATATCTAACACCTAAACTTTACTTTTGACATTTATACCACCCAAATCTTTCATATCATCTAAAAAATGCCACCATTTTAACTTTTAAAAAGTGAAATACAACTTTTCATGCAGAGTTAGGTGACATGTACGTAAAAATCGAAGTTTAGGTGTTAGATATGCAAATATATAGGAATTAAGGGGGATGTATATAAATCTTCCTAGTTTTAAATACATGTATGGATCCTGATCTTAATTATGACAAAAGATCCCATCAAGATATGCAGAATAGAAAAAAGAAATAAGGACAATGATATACTTTCAAGCAGAAAATAATTAGAAAAATACATAAAAACAAACAAACAAACATGTCTACATTGTTTTAACTTGTAATCATAAGAAAATGGCAGCTGACCTGTAAAACACATCTGTTGTAACTGGTACAATTTGTATTCGGATTATTCTGCGACGTAAAACAGTTTTCTGCAACCACATCCATGCAAGCAAAAGAAATAACAAAATAAAACTGTAGAAAACCCCACAAAATAGTTTGAAATAAAAAGGGAGATTTACATACCTACCACCCAATTTCTATGTATTAACATATCAACCACCTAAACTTCAATTGTTACCTATAGACCACTTAACCTTATGCTGAAAACATCATAGGAATCAGGTGGTTTGTACGTAAAAATTGAAATTTGGGTGGTTGATATGTTAATAGATAAGAACCGTGTGGTATGTATGTAAATACTCCAAATAAAAAAATAAATTTAATTAAGCCGAATATGTATCTGATAATGAGAAACTTTACCCCACACAACTCCTGAGGATTCAACTTCTAAGCAGGCCATTTTCTACAGAACCAAAGGTAAATATCATCATGGATATTACATTTTAAGCTGCAAATTTCAATCTATAGACGAGGAAAAAAGAGAGTTCATAAACAAACCACCCCACTCATCGAATGTTTCTGCAAAATACAAGTATATAAGTACTGGCCTAGAGGCCAAAAACAATATATGAATACCAATGAAAGCTATGGACTCTCAAAATTCATTAAAAAGAAAAGGAGAATAAATTAAAATTAAAACCTTAACTGCCCCCACCGGACTCACTCACATCCCATAAATACCTAATCCTGCTAAGGGGGTGTTTGGCTGCATCTTGGATTTAAGTCAAGTAGAATTTACTAAATCCAATAAATTCAAATTTATTAAATCCAGTGATATTAAATCCAAATTTTTATTTGGTATTATTTCAGTTAAATCCATAAAAAGTATTTGGCTTTCGTTTTCGAATTTAATAGAAAAAGAGAGAAGCAAGAAATTATTTTCTTAAAGTCGCCTCAAGATCGGATTTAGTAAACCCGAGATTATCGTCACGGCAGAGAAATTTATGGATTTAGGCTGACGGTAAGATTTAGAAGCGCCGAATTTGTGTTTGGTGAATTTACGTTAAATCCATACGTTAATCCGCCAGTAAATAGCATATCAAACACCGCCTAAGACTCAACCATTCCCATTCATGCATGAAGCTGAAGAAGTTCTTCCTATTCGAACCGAGGCCAACAATGGAGGCCCAGCTCTGCATTGTAGGCTATTACTGCGGAGCCGAAACAGGAGCCAAAGCCGAAACAGGAGCCGAAGCTGAAACCATCTCCCATCCTCTTCGTGATCGAGAAATCCTTGCTGCTTTGGAGGATCATGCGAACCCTACTCTCCCTCCTAGTGTTCACAAATTAGCGCTTGTCTTCTCGCGATAAAGTTGCAACAAAAACAAAATGAGAAGGCAACAATGGGAGACCTTCAAAACTCCCATCTTTCTTTCTTTTGGCGCCATCTCCCTCGCGATACAATCATGATTATTGCTACAAGAAAAGCCAACGACCGGATTGCGGCATACAAAGACATCCACAATTCCCTTTCTTTCTCTCCCTCCACTGTCTACAATTCGAAAGTCCTCCCTGCTCTATTTCACGTGTGACACTACCTTGTTGAAGCCCTGTACCGCAAGCATAGCCTTCGCTCTTGCCTTCCCCGAATTGAAACCTTGCCTTCCCTGCACGGAAATCCTTCACCTCCAACCCGAAACCGCACTGTTCCTTCCTCTCTGTTCGCAGAGAACCCAATGCACTCACCCGACTTTGTTCCCTGTATTCACCCAAATCGAGACCAATAGTTGAGAGCCCAATTGTTGTTCCATACTATTTACAGAATTTAGCCATGGATATAACTTAAATCTCGCCAAACGTAAAAATATAAAAATTAAAATCCACCGTTCGATTAAATCAATAATTTTTGCATTTTGTGGATATTGCTCGCGTTCCATTAAATAAATGATGTAAACCCAGATTTGTTTAATCCATCTATTAGGCAGATTTACGAACATTGCTCGCCGTCGCTTGCCCTCACAAGATCTGCATTGAGTTTGATAAAACCGAATTTAACAACATTTGATAAATCTCATTCAATGTAAAATCAAGCTGCAGCAAAACACCCACTCAACCCTCTGTTTCTTCCTATTCAAGCCGCTTACCTTAACCCAAAAACAAAGTTCACCAACTTTATGATTTGCATGATACATTACACATTACATATTATATATTGTTAAAAAAATTGATTTTTTTTTTAAGAAAAATGAAGGTCACGCCCAACATTACTCATAAAAGAAGAAAAATGCTGAGACTCAAGAATAACAAAACAACAATTCAAAGCATAGCTTGAAACACACAAATACAAAGAGAAAAAAAATCAACAGAAGACTGAAAGAAAAAATCTAAACTCTAAAAATTGTATTCTATTTTTGTTTCACCAATTATGTCATTCCGACATCGCTATTGGCGTTGAACTAGCTTGAAAAGATGTATGCAGGGGATTTTTCTTTTAAAATATTCGTTCGAAAAAATTCAAATACTTGTCCAAAAAATTAAATTTCATTTAGAAAAATTTAAGTATTCATTCAAGAAAATTTTTATAAAAAATCGGGAAATTTTTTAAATGCCCGTTTCGAGGAAGTTTGAGTACCTGTTAAGAGAAATTTATATACTCATTCGAGGAAATTTTTCATAAAAAAAAGCAAAATTTAATTAGTTGCTCTAGGAAACTCGAGCATCTGACCAAGGAATTAACTAACAGTAAAAAAAAATCAAGTACAAGTTCACGAAAATGCAGGATTGAAAGTTGGCTTATTGCAAGTTAATTAAGGGCATGAATCTTTTCAGAACATGGGTTAAGAAATATTATCACCTGATTGTAATGTCTCACGACACTGACCAACGCGTCTTTGAAGATAATCAGGAAGGTTGGCACTCTCTCCAATGCCCCCTAAGAGAGGGAGATATCGAGAGACTGTCGAAATTTTGGGTGATTTAGACTTGCAAATGATTAAAAATTTTGGTCTATTTAAACATTATAAAATGACACATAAGTACTTAAACTTGCAAAATTATTTAAAATTGGCCTGAAGATTTGAAAAATAATTCAAATTTAAGCTCTTAGGCTTGAAAAATAACTCAAATTTTGGATTTAATAATTGAAAAATAATTCAAATTTAGGCTCCAAGACTTGAAAAATAATTCAAATGTGGACTTTTTAAACTTGCAAAATAAGTTAAATTTGAATCATTTGAACTTATTAAAATTGACTTAAATATGAAATATTTGAATTTCAAAAAGACTTTCATATAAAATATCATAAATTTGGGCTAAATAAAAACATAAATAACATTTTTAAAAATGCTAAAATAAAGACTCGGTAGACATTCTTGCCACTAGATTGTCAGTATAATTACAAGCAAACATATGGCAGTATTTTCAAGGCTTAAAATGAATATTTGCATACATCAAAGTATTCATTCAAATAAGACAATTTTATATAATTTCAAGTCTTAGATGTGTCTTCCAAGGAAATTATTGATTGAATTCATGTATTAAAATCCTATGAATTGCCTTAAGCAAACAAAATTATCTAAAATAGCCACATAAATAAATTTTTTGCTCGCATGTGTTCCGATTAAAGTGCTAGAAGTTTTAAAAAATAATATGTGAATGTTGTGGGGAATAGCTCAAAATTAATAATAATCCACCCGCATGTGTTCCACCAAAATTGAGTAAATGTTTAAACTTAAATCATCTGAGAATAATACGCGGGTTCAAATGAAATTTCCGCTTAAATAACTTTCATTTTGAAAAGCATACAAATTTCCTTCTCAAAAAGTTTACACTTATCTTAAAGTTATAAAATCTGCATTTTAAAATCAAATTCAAGACATTTAAATTATATAAGCTTTCAATTGGACGACAGTGTCTATAGAGCAAAGTTGTAAGTCCCACTCAATTAGTTTGATCACCCTCATCTTAAGGACTGTAATTAACAAGTCTATAAATTTGTTATACCAGTGTCAAAGGGTAATTTAGCCTTTTATAATTTATTATTGTGAAATATAAATAGAACTTATTGTGCTTAGGGTTAGGTTATGCATGAGATTGTGGTCACGAGTCTTAGGTTTAGGGTTTGAGACAGATAGTCTAAGTCTCAAATTATAGTTGTTGGGAGAGATCACCTACCATTCCAATTTTAGTGGTTATTTTTAGATATTTGAGTTTTGTTGTTTTGAGTTAGTAAAGAGAAATATTTTGTTTACCCCAAATTCCGTGGAAAATTTGGCTCGCGTTCGTATCAAATTGGTATCAAAGCAACGATCCTTTTTTAATGTTGAGGCATCCTCACCAACTTGGTTGATTCGCCTTTAGACCGAATATCACGATACAAATCACAAACTAAGCTAGCTAGGAAGCGGGGGGATTGTGATACATTCAAGATCGATGGGAACCCTAGCCATATTGACATGATTTCAGCTAGCTCGGAAGCAATGATGAGATTTGTCAAATTTTTGTGTGAATAGGTTGAATCCTGAATAGGTTCGATGCATTTTCCCTTTGCTTTCATTCAAATAAATAATAATCTTACAATCTATATTAGGTACAAAATATTTTGTATAATCTATTTTAGCTAACTTAATAATGCACATTCATAATCTAAATATTCAGCTAACAAGAAAATAAATCAGAACAAAGAAATTGGAAATAATTTAAATAAGGAAACTCCTAATTATAGAAAATTCCTAATTTAGCTGCTAATTTTCGTCCTTCCTGATTGACATCCACCCTCAAATTGATGTTGACCGATCAAGAAGCATCAATTTGCCAACAAGAAACTTTGTCGGGACCAACAATCCTCAAGTCGTGAGTGTCGAAGTCAAAGATGTCGAAGTCGAGAATGTTGAAGCCTCAGAGACAACACCTGAACCATAATATGATCTGAGCAAAGAAAAGAAAGAAATCATCTATCGTCGTCATCCAAAAATTCAAATTATAGCCACAAGAAGGATTCGCGTCCAGTTACACGATCCAAATGCTACTGATCATAGCCCACAAGTAGGATTTGCGTCCTGTTATATGATTCAAATGCTATTTATTCTTCCGACGACTGCGATAACAAATTGTTCTCTAAACTTCATGTCAAAAGTGCTGAAGCCGAGATCAGGCGTGCAGATAAAAAAAGGGAATGTCCCGTTGGCGTGCAGATGAAGGTGGCGAAGAAGTGGGAGTCGCTGCGGGTGGAGTTCGAACAAGAGGCTCTGTCGAAACCAAACGACTAGAAGAGAAAGACGAAGTAGAACGAACACGACATAGGTGAACAAATAATCAGACGCCGAACAGACGAGAATTCCAAATCATTGATCGAAATCAACCTAAGAGATCAAAAAAAATCTAAAGAGAACCAAAAAAACCAAAAGATCGTGCACTGCCTTGAATTCGGCCTGAAACCGAAGGAGAGGAATTTGAAGCCTAAGC